AGAAGCAACCGAGCCGCCTGAACTTCCTATACCACCCCATCTGATGGAGGAACCAGAGCTTCTAACCTATTTCCAACAAATTCATAAGCTAACTCATTTGGGCATCAGGAAACTCTGCTACTGGCTCGACATCATGCCACCAGTAGCCTACCTCTATCTAAGGTCCAAAGACTGGCTGAACAGGTCACCAAGAATTGTAAAGCTTGTCAACTTGTCAACCTTCATCCCTCAAAACCCGTTGGGGGAATAAGGTTACGAGGAGATCAACCTGGACAATTTTGGGAAGTAGATTTTACTGAAATAAAGCCTCCCAAATATGGACTCAAATATTTGTTAGTCTTTATAGACACTTTTTCAGCATGGACCGAAGCCTTTCCTACCAAACTGGAGACTGCTCAAGTAATAGTCAAAGAGTGGATGGAAGAAATATTTCTTCGTTTTGGCCTGCCAAAGGTAATTGGGTCTGACAAGGGGCCGGCATTCATGGCTCAGGTAAGTCAGGGCGTGGCCAAGGTGATGGGGATTGATTGGAAGCTTCATTGTGCCTACAGACCCCAAAGTTCAGGACAGGTAGAGAGAATAAATAGAACAATTAAAGAGACCTTAACTAAATTAGTCCAAGAGACTGGCCTTAAGGATTGGACAATGCTCCTACCTTATGCTCTATTTAGAGCAAGAAATACTCCAATTTCTAAACCACCTAACCTAACTCCCTTTGAGATTTCATATGGTTCTCCTCCCCCCATACGAGACCTTAGTCCATGGCCTAAAGACTTAAAAATACCCCAGACTCCCTTGGCTGATAGACTCTTGATTCTTGACCAGATCCAGTGGATCTTATGGTGACAACTTTCCTCGGCCTACCAGCCCAGCGATGGACCCACTCCCCACCAATTCCACGTGGGAGACTACATGTTCATCCGCTGACATCAGACTGAGACCCTACAACCCCGCTGGAAAGGACCCTATCAGGTACCATTAACCACACCCTCAGCAGTCAAACTTGACGGCATCACTTCTTGGATCCACGCATCCCACCTCAAGCCTGCACCTCAGCCATCCGACCATGAATGGATTGTGGAAAAGACTGATAACCCTCTTAAGGTTCGGGTTTGTAGAGTTACTAACCCTGGGCCCAATTAAGGGGGATAGCTCCAACCCTCATAGACCCTGGAAATGGACCATCATTCGTTGGGAAGATGGCAGTACTTTCACTACTTGGGTGGGACCAGGAAACCCTTCCCTCCAGGTTGCTTTTTGTAAATTCTTTGGACATACCAACCCTAATAACCTAGACAACTGGAACTGTCAACATACTATATACATGTGCCCGGCTTCTAACCCCGGAAAAAGTTACTGTAATAGCCCTAACCAGTATTATTGTGCCTACTGGGGCTGTGAAACTATAGCTACCCACTGGACAATAGATAGCCCAGACCCAGATATCAGAGTCAGCTACAGTCCCTGGGGATGTACCCCAACAATTGTCACAGCCACTAGTTATTTACCCACTCCCAAGGGGCCTAAAAGATGTAAAGTGTTCTTCATAAATATTACCACACCTGAGGACCCTGGATGGTTAATAGTAAAAACTTGGGGATATAGAATGTGGACCTCAGGTACAGATTACGGGAGCCTTATCCTAATAAAGAAGGAACTAGTCCCCCAAAAGCCTATTGGGATAGGACCCAATCCTGCCTTAATTAAAATTCCTCTGGTCTTGCCAACCACCCCAAGACCTAAACTTACCTCCACATCCTCACACCTCCCACTCCCTAGATTCGTGCCCACAGTTCCATATGAGCTAAACAACCAAGTGTATAATCGGTTGTACAGTCTCATACTGGGAGCTTATTCAGCCATCAACCATACTCAGACCAGCCTCACTCGGTCTTGTTGGCTATGCCTGTCTGCTTCACCACCTTACTATGGAGGAATTGCTTCAAATGGGACCTATATCACCCATTCCTCTGGCTCTAATTGTGATTGGGATCAAAGCCATAAACTCACCCTATCTGAGATAACGGGACATGGGACTTGCATAGGAAACCCCCCTCCTCACATTAAGCCTTTATGTGCTGCCATCCATCAGGTCAACAATGAAGATAAATTTCTTCAACCCCC